GGGACAGGACTGCTGTCCTGTGGCAGAGCTGTGGTGGGACGGGACTCCTGTCCGGTGGCAGAGCTGTGGGTGGACGGGACTCGCTGTCCGGTGGCAGAGCTGTGGGTGGACGGGACTCGCTGGCAGAGGGTCTGTGGTGGGTTTGTTCATGACTGAGCGTGGTGCTCTAGACTCACAGGGAGAGGCCTGGCACAACCATGAGCCCTGCCCTCCTACCTGCAGTGCTGGCCACGCCCCTTCATCCTCTGGGCACCTATGACCATGGGTTCTACTGCGTGCCAGTGACCATATGTGATACCCCCTCCCCACAGCCTGCCCATGCACGCTGGAGGTGCATGTCACAGTGCGCCCGGCCAAGGAGCCCTGGCGCTGCAGCAGTGCAGTGCCCGGCTGCGGGCTGAGAGGTGGTTCAGAGCCTCCCAGACGTGCGCAGGGAAAGACCTGGTGACCTGTGCCTGCCCTGCAGGTTACGCTCTGCCGCCCTGAATGACAAGACTCACTGTCCTTTCTGGCCTGCGAGACTATTAAATCCTCACCGGAGCAGACAGCCTCATCTTTCTCCCAAGGTGCGGCTAGTGGGTTCAAACCGGCAACCTTTTGGCTGACAGCCCAACACACCATGCACGCCCTGCTCCCTCAAAAACCCTCAACGCCACATCTGCCGACAGAACCCAGCAAAGAACCAGAGACCCTGCAGGACAGCAGAACTGCCCCCAGGCCTTCTGAACCTTTCATCTGGTGTTAGGTTCGGGGCACGCTGTCGTCCCTGAAGTTAGTAGCCTGGCACCTAGCCCACTGCACCACGGGGGCTGTAGTAAAAGTTTTTAAGAGATATGTGTATAAAGGTGGCAGCCAAGGAAACCTCAGGGCCAGGGCTGCCACCACCTCTGCCCTCGTCGCCCTGAGAAGTGAGGAGGGGGGAGGGCTTGGCAGACCCCCTCCCCCACAAAGGATGTCTTGGGGTTGGGGTGGGGGCACCCTGAACAAAAGCAGGCTCTGGCTGCTGATCTCTGAGACAGGCCTTGTCCACCTGCTGTCCTGGGCTGCCTTCCAGGGGGTCTCCACGCGTGGTGGCCCCATGCATGCCAGAACAGTGCTCCCGCTCTGCGCCAACCCCGAGCCAGGTCGGTCAGACGGCCTCCGTCCACGGTGTTTCCCCACAAGGGGTTCCGAGATGATCGGTCACAGGCTTTTCTTCCTGCTCGTAGCCTGGAAGCTCCTTACGATGGGCTGGGTGTGAGGTCACAAGTGGGTTAAGAGCAAGCTCCTGGAGCTGCTTCTAGGCTCATGGGCTCCCTGGTGAAGGGTGAATCTCCCTGCAGTCACAGGATGTGCGTGTGTGTCCTTCCATGTTCTGACACATCTGCGTGCACCTGGCAGTGAGCGCTCAGCTGTGCATGGGGAGGCAGGTGTTTGTAACCACTCAGCATCCATGCTGGCTGCTGCTGGGCACTCCATGTGAGTGGGGGATGACCTGTGACACCCCCCCCCCCCCCAAGGCTACTCAAGGCCTACCCTGCCACCATGCTGTCCCCTGCCTGGGCTGCTCACCAAGTCCCAGCCCACCCATCTGCAAACCTCCCCTGGGCCACTCACCAAGGCCTTGGGCAGCCGGGCCACTACTCTCTCCCTAACCCTGCCTGGGCCGCTCCCCAAAGCCCTGCCCACCTGCAACCATCCTGTCCCCAACCATCTCCTGGGCTACTTGTCCACCAACCTACCCTGGGCCAGTCACCAAGGCCCTACCCGCTATGCCAAAGACCCTCTGATCCAGAGACAATAAGAAGATCCTCTGCTGTCCCCTGGCCACACCCCTCACCAACCTGTCTGGCTGTGTGATTCACAAAGCCAGTTACGATGCCCCACCGGCAGGTGGGGGGCACTGGCCCTGGCTCGGCTGCAAGTCCACTGGGAATCCTTGGAGAAGCGGTTCCTGGAGACCCCCTCCAGAGGGGCGTGCTGATGTGAGTGCATTCTGACTCAGCGATTGGCGGCCTCACTCAGACTAGTGTCCCCCATGCAGTTCCTCAGTCACCCCTCACCCGGGACCAGCCCTGTACCAGGCTGAGAACCCACCCACTGCCCCAGGCCCGTTCTGCCTCTGCTACCCGACCCAGGGACGGCGGCCTCCCAATGACGAGTATCATTTTACACTGCAGTTCAGAGGAGGCTCGTGGGACAGGCCACTTTCCAGCCAGCAGTTCAGACACACTTGGTTTTGTCTTGTTGATGGCTGTCCCCTCCCTCGTCGCCCTTTGCAGCAGTTACATAATCTGTCAGCTTGAGCAAAGGGGTAGAGTCCAGCCTGTCAATCAGTTCAAAGCTAATGAGGCTTCTGTGTGGGCATGGTCAGGATTCTGGGAACTGCTGTCTTCCTCCCTGGAGGCAGGACACACCCTCTGCTTCACATTCTGTTGACAAGACACGTGGAGACACACTGATGGAGCCAAAGCCCCGAGCTGGAGAAGCTATGTAGAGACCCCTGCCAGTGCTGAGATGCTTCCACTGCCACTGGGTCTACAAGACCACCTACCCACTGGCCTGTGATCCTGCATTCGGCAGCAGTGCATGTGCTGCGTGAGTCAGAAGAGGAATTTATGGATTAGCATTGACATACGGGGTCATATCAGACTTATGGACTTGATCTGGACTGGGCTGGGAAGTTTTCTTAATAAACAATTGCTCTTTGATATAAAGCTCTTGTACACTTGAGTGTCTATGAATTTGTTGATCTAGTCAACCTGGGCTAACACCCTTTCCCCTTGGGCCCCCTCCTAGCTCTTGCCCTCTTATCCCGGGGTGAACGCTGCCCCTTTGATCACAGAATACACTACGTGGTCCCCATCCGTGTACGCTGCATACACGTGACATCTAGACACGCAAATGAATACAAACAAGAACACTCGTAAAATCTTTGTGCTGAGTTGCCACCTTAGGTTCACCAAGCGGAAGCCTTTTTTTCCCTTCTCCTTTGTCAGTTTATGCTGACGGTGCCACGGACTGCAACACTGAGAAGCCCGATGCTCCACGTGTGTGTGTAAGGCTTTGAAGCTCTGCTCACGGCAGGGTTCACACTGTGGGTGGGTGTACAGCGTCAGCCTCATTCCTGCCTCGGTGCATCCCAGCGGGGCTGAAGAAAAGTGTCTGTTCTTCCAACTCACCGCAGGGACGGTTTAATAAAAATAAACAGTCATATTGTGCAGGCCCACATGCCCGCACCAGTGACACCGCTGAGCCCCCCAAAGCTACAGGAGCAGGTCACCACACTCCGAGTTCACACCACCACGCAGGCGCTGTGGGCTGCTGACTGCAAGGTCAGCAGCTTGGAACCACCAGCTGCTCCTTCAGAGGAAGGCGAGGCTTTCTGCTCCCCTGCCTGGGACCGGGGCAGGGTCAAAAGGCCCAGACAGAGGACAGGTTTGTTGGATTTGTATAACGAACGGGGCAGGGCACGGTGTCTTATGTGCAATCTTCTCCAAGGCCACAAGATGGGGATGTTACCCCACCAAATCCGACCTGCCCGTCCCCAGGAGAGCAGCTCTGGGCTTCTGCATGTGTGAGCCTGGGAGGGCAGCATGGACAGAGAACTGGGCCCGAGGCCCAGAGGAGCCCCCGTGTGGACGTAGGTCCGTGCCCAGTGCCCAGAGGAGGCCACACACCCAGAGAGCCACGGCCCATCAGGTGGGGCCTGCGTTCAGTTTGGGGGAGACCAGATGGAGCTCGGGGAGGCCCTTTGGAGAACATGTGACAGACCACTGCCCAGGAGCCGAGCCCTTCCCATCCCGGCTGGAGGACACGGAGTCCTCGTGGTGTGATGGCTACCTGAGAGGTGGGAGGTTCAAACCCACCCGAGGGAGGGAGGCTCCCAGGAGCAAGCTGTGGCCATGGGCTCCGGGGATGTCACCGTCTTGGACACCCCACGGGCAGTCTTGAGCGGCAGCATGGTGACTGCAGCGGGTTTGTGTTTGTGGCTTTATCAGCCCTGGCAGCACTGCAGTGAGGAGCTCGGCTGAGATCCAATGGCTGGCAGTTCAAACCCACCCGGGTGCTCTGAGGGGGGAACCTGGCTCTGTGATGAGGGCTGCCTGGGAGACCCCTCGGGGTTCTGCCGCAGGGGGGATTGGGTGTGTGGCCGAGCCGGGGTTTGTCACTTTTCAACGCTTGCTTCTACGAGCACTGGCAGCTCATAAAGCGCTCAGATAGTAACGGAATGGTTGGCAGTTCGAAGCCACCCAGCGGCTCTGCAGGCGAAAGCCCTGGCGATCTGCTCCTGTCACGGCGGCAGCCTGGGACACCCCGCGCGGCAGGCAGCTCCACGCTGCCACGTGGGGGTGGGCGGCTCTGCTCCGTCTTTTGGTGTTGCCGCCCCAGCAGCGGCATCGACATGGC